TGAGAATATTATCATACGGCTGACCCAGAACGGTATGATATCCCAGCCGGTCTCCAAAGTTGTGTTTGGAAAGAACCTTTCGAGATCTGTTGTCCTATCTGGCCATCCGAGAGTGCTGAACGGCCAGAGGCCGGAGCTGAACCAGGTATCCAAGACATCCTCGTCCCGCCTGAGTGAAAGCTTCTTGCTAGGGAACTTTTCTTCTGCTTTTTCCCGGGCTTCTTGCTCTGTTCTGCCACAGACCCAGTAGTTGTCATCAGCATCGTCCCCGTCATCTTCGCCTTCAATGGTGACGAAATACGCCGGTATCTGGTGACCCCACCATAGCTGCCTCGACAAGCACCAGTCTTGGAGGTTGCGCATCCATTGCAAGTATTGTCTCTTCTGTAGGTCCGGCCGGATGATAAGCTCCCCGCTCTCGACAACATCGATGGCGGGTTGCGTCAGAGGTTCCATCTTCATCCACCACTGGGGTTTCAGGTATGGTTCCACAATATCCCCTGACCGGCTGCAAATAGGAACGACCATCTTGTTGGGTTCCTGTTTCGTATACAGGCCAAGCTCTTTGAGCTTCTCGGTGATGGCGTATCTGACATTGAACCGCTTCTCTCCGGCGTATGGGCCCGCATTTCCATTGAGAGTGCCATCATCGTTCAGAATGTTGATGAACTCGAGGTTATGTTTCTTCCCGAGAGCAAAGTCATTATGATCGTGGGCAGGCGTCAGCTTGACAGCACCAGTACCAAATTCTCTGTCAACATGCTCATCGGCAATAATTCTCAACTTCCTGTCAGCGATGATGGGGTGTTGCGCAATCTTGCCGACGAGGTGCTTGTATCGATCATCCTGGGGATGGACTGCTATACCGGTGTCACCCAGTATCGTCTCTGGTCTTGTTGTTGCAACTTCAATTGTTTCATCAGAGCCTTCAATTCTATATTTGAAGTATGTGAGCGTTCCGAATTCAATCTTCCGCTCATATCCTGGGACGTCAAGCTTGGTCGTTCCCTCGAGCTCCTTCTGGTCGACTTCAAGCGTGGATAGCGCAGTCGAGAGTCGACATGACCAATGAACAAGCCTGTTGGCTCGGTAAATCAGCCCTTCCGAGTGCAGCTGGACAAAGGTCTCGGTGACAGCTCTGGACAGCTGGGGGCTCATTGTAAAGGCCTCACGCGACCAGTCGGAGGAGACACCGAGTCTACGGGTAGTCTTGTTGATGGCTTGATGATAATCCTCCTTCCATTCCTGACACAGCTGAACGAATTCAGCACGAGTGAAATCCTGCCGTTTAGATTTCCCGTCTTTCGGAGTTTTGGCAAGCTGTTTTTCGACAACAGCTTGAGTGGCAATGCCTGCATGATCACAACCAGGGATGTAGAGGGTGGTAAACTGTCGCATACGATGCCACCTGATAAGGGTATCTTCGAGTGAAAGGGCTAGGGCATGTCCGATGTGAAGTCTTCCCGTGACCTGTAAGCAAAGTTAGCAAATAATTACAATGCTCGTGCATGAATGCGCCCATACGTTTGGTGGCGGCATCGCAATGACATATTTCCCTTTGGATTTGATACTGCCATCTTCCTCAGTCCGTGGTTTGAACAGCCCCTGCTCCTCCCAGAAACTGTACCAGGCAGACTCAACGACTTTGGGTATGTATGCCTTGTGGAAATCATTATCAAGCGGGCCTAGTATTTTTCTTTGCCCAGCTGGAGTCTCGTCAACCCAATCTTTTGGGTCGACCCCGGGAGCACCCTCGTTTTTGGGCTTCTTTTCCTTGGAACCAGCCCCTGATTTCTGCTGTGCCTGTTGGGCTTGTTTTTCCTTCTTCAAGGCAAACTTCTCAGCCTTGAGTCTCTGCTTCTCGCTCATGGGCTTCCCTGCCCCTGAGTGCTGTGTAGAGGCCATTGTTGACGGTGCAAGTGATACGGTGGGTTTGTTGTCCAAGGCAGTGAAGATGACGAAGAGGATAGTTAGCACACACGAGATGAGGAGACGAAGAATTCATTTTCTGAACAGATATATTAGATGAGTCACTAGTTGCGACTGCGGTTGCCCTGAGTCATCCATTGTGCTTATGTATGCCATCACGACTTCCCTAGATAGGCAGCAGATTGCGATCGAGGCCTCGGATTTCGAGTCAATTGAAGGTCAGATTATACACGAGCCCTACCAGCACATGACCAAGGCGTTGACGATGGTGTTGAGGGCAGTTTACAACCCGCATCGCAAATCCACTGAGCTAGGCCCGTGAGTTAGGTCAATGGCTAGATCCGTGGCTTGGTCCATGAGGAGTCCCAAACCGGGTCGATTGCTGCAACCGTATTCCGCCGATGTAGGCAATGTAAGTGGTGGATGGTTACACAAGATGGGCGACGAGCGTTTTGTCTCTGTTTACGGATGGAGGAAGTCCCAAAACAGGCCGCGGAAACCGCGCATAGCGTATGTACCTTCCTCACCCGAACTGAGCATGACTAACTCGTGGATTCACAATTATGAATGCACATTTTGTCTTACCCTCAACAGACGAACGAACACAACTGACGATTGAAGAAACGATTGGCATTCTTTAATGTGTGTACGCACGTCATCCGGCTTATTGGTCAAATTAATCTACCGTATTCATGCCAATTAATCGCAATCAATCTACAGCCCTCTACTGGATTCCGAGCCTGCATCGAGGGGCATCACATCGCCGATCACGGCCAGAAATTGCGAAACACGAACTCCCTGCAAGGATGGCTGGCACGCACAGACCAGTGTCGAGTCGAGGATTGTTCTCTCTCTATCACTATCACGTCGACGCATAAGTCAGGTTAATTAGGAGCGGCGGCGCAGAAAGAAAACGCAATCAAGCGTGGCCACCGGCATAGCCACGACTAGTCTTGGTCCGCCGACCCTCTTCGTCACCAGAGTCGGCATGAAACGATATCATGAGTGAAGAAGCAGGTGATTAGCTTGCGAGTCGCAATTCCCTTCTCCTCTTTTCCTCGAGCTCGGGCTTCCTCATTCGGCAAATGGGGGGTCGAGGCGAATCGCCAGCCAAGAACGCGCAAGCCAAGACGGGGAACGAAGGGCCTGTTTCTCTCCACATTATTGCCATGCTAAGCTTTTTAACCTGCGAGAATGAGGATGGTTGTCTGGGCGCTGGTCTGACCATCGTCACTGTGCCCTGGTAGCCCCGATGTCCAAAACCCGCACGATGTGCCGACTGGCGAATGCCTCGTCACATTGCATGAAGAAGAAATTCGTAACATGGAAGCAGGCGATGGCGCAAACCATGGCGGGTCCCTCAGCTCTTGTCGTCGTCTCCGTGTACTCGATATGGAGTTCGGAAGACCAGCTTGCGTGTTCCCATCCCCCAACGTGAACAGGGCCTGACCCTCATCCAGGTCGGGAGTTTTTTACCTGAACCGTCGACCAGCTCTTTCCGTCGCTGCTTCTGGTAGAACTTGATCGGACCCCATAGATGACACAAGAAAATGGGGGCAGCAAACACTACGGAGTAGTCTCAGGGCCCTAGAGAGTTTCACGGCCTGCTGGAACAGTGTCAAAACGCTCGGAGCTGGGCCAACCGGGATCGACTCGCGACGATGGGACTCTGGCTGATTGGGATGGTCGTCTTTCTATGGGGCCGGGCAAGCCCACAACTGGCTGCAAACGGCGGTTGGACTGGTTGGTCGTGGACCTGAAACAGGGGATGCACCACGCAACACTGGGACCTACCTCATTCCACATTGCCGGACAGAGCCCCTGGCCTATCAGTGTCTCCGTTCTGGAGGTCCAAGCATACGTAAACTACAGATCCACGGCTGATCGTTGGGAAGCGCGCAAGACGCAGGCAGAATTGCGGGCCTCTAACCACCTGATGATGCGTAACCCGCATCTCCCTGCTTTCGGGAGGTGTAGGAGCAGGCGTGGTAGAGAAGGGGATTTTCTCCACGATGGCATAAAGAGGGCGAGGGCCCGTCCCGTCTGCAGTCATCCTCATCACAACTCTCGCTCAACTCAATCCCGAGTCCTTACCATCTTTCTCTCAGCTTCATAGACATCAGCTGTAATTCAATCGCTCAAAGAGGCCGGTCCTCTCCACATCACATCCATACCCACCTATTCAAACCCACTACAACGGTCAATCAGACACTATACACAACACAACAATCAACTATTCTGTAATCCCCGATACACATCTACTTCGGATCAGATCAGCATCTTCTACGACGAAATCTATCTCATCCCAAAACCAAACGAACCAAAAACCACCGAACAACCATAATGAGTCCTTCCGCCATTCTCGTTGCCGCTTTCGCCACCATGGCTCTGGCTATGCCCCTGGGCATTGACCCCCGCCGCCTGGATACCATGAACGTCTTCTTGGCCGACATTGAGTAAATTGATTTTACCAATGGCCTTCCAAGGTATGTTGTCGACTTGCTTGGTGCTCAGGACATCACTCCCCACACTCACAACCAAGGCTAATCAGGCGATTCCAGAGGCAAATTAGAATAAAAAGAAATCTACAAAAAAAACTGCATCATATATTATACCATGGGAAAAGAACGGGATACTCGGCGTTGTGCCAGGGGGTTGGCATCACACTCATTTTAGAAGACATCACATCGGGTGATATGTCATTGCATTATATTACATACCCACAATGTTTAGATCACATTGCCACGCACGTTGGATTTTACCTTTGTCCATAGAATCCATTTTCTTGAACCAAGAAGAAAAAATTTCAAGATATTATTACCATTCCATACCTGTATCGTCTGAGTGGCTCTTGTATGAGAGAGCCCTGGTAAGTGACTGACATAAAACATGACACACCCAGAACCTCCAGCGCTAAATTGCGACACACTATCAAAACAATCAACCTAGTAATAAGCATAATGTTGAGCCAAATATTGTAGAATAGTTTATTATTTTCTTATTATTATGTGTATATTCATTCAATAAACAGCTTGCGCCCATCAGACGGCAAAAAGTTCCGCGTCCATTAATCACACAGTCCCGTCGTTGTCATCATCTATATAGTAGTTACACTCATCTCCACCCTCATCTTCATCTTCCTCATCAGTTGGAATTTCCAGGTCGTCAGAGTCATTCTTCCGGTGCGACGGAATCGGGGACTTCATTGACGCCTGGGCAGCAATGTCTGAATGAACACTGTCCGCAAGCTGGTTTTCGTTATCGCCAGCAATGTCGGCCGCCGATTCTCCTGAAAAGGCCAGGGCTTCGTCCTCTGTCAAATGGCCTACTCTGCGTGCTAGCTTCCGTAGGGTTGACGTTCGCATGTAATCGCCCGGTGATGCCCAGATGCTGTTAGTTTCTGCATTTAACAGATCTTTCCACCATCCGGGGATATCATGGCGTTGGCGGCGAAGAATACTCATGCAGTATGCAAAGTAGAGATATCTTGCTGCTGGCCGGAAGTCATTTTTGAATTCCAGTTTCAGATTCTGAAGCCCTGTACCAGTTGGTAGACCTTCGCCACCGCCTGGCCTCTTCTCGTGTTCGCCATATAGCCATTGTGTCTTCCAGCAATTGGGGCCTGCTTCTGCATCGGGTACAATGACCAATCCACCCTCGTCAAACAGCTTTTCGTAATATTCGTGCATTGGGAAGGCATTTTTGGCTCCCATGAGATGGCCGTCCTTGGAGTCTGTGGGCCCGAAAAGGTGTGCAGCTGTTGCTTCGCCCACATTGTACCTAACAATATAGGCAGCTTTGATATTCTTGGCCCAGTAATGTCGTTTGCTGATTGCACACCATACTTCGCCATCATCATTGAAGGCGTCGTATGCTTTAAGCACGTCTGTTCGGAACCGATTTCGCGCCTCTTGTGTTCTTTTGGTAAAGAGAGTACATCGTGCTCCCTCTGGCGTCTTGTAGAGTCTGATCAACATGTCAAGATATGACCAGTGGGTATCTTCATTTTTGCCCCAAATAGCCCAATCTATGATTCTTCCACATATTTCGTAATAGGATGTGTGAAGCACGATGATGTCGGTTGTTAGGGTGCTGATTTCCCTCTCCAGTCTTTCAATCTCATCCCGATATTCTTGCATATTTCCGGAAGAAATATGACCCTTGTGCCACTCCTCGTTTAACTTTTTGAGCATCTTTTCGGAGCTTTCCCGCTGTTTCTCCTTGATCTCCCGGTGGTTCCTCACAAACTCGGAAACTGCCTCAGTTTCGCTGCTTTCCAGCTTGGGCTGCTTGAAATCAAATGAGCCCATAGTCGGTTTGGGAAGACGTGTGGTCTTGGTGCACTTTGGAAGTGTTGCGAGAGTTGGTTTCGAGGCAGGTTTGGCCTTGTGCGAGCTTCAGCTGCGTGGATTTAAGCTGTGGAAGGTACAAAAGCAATTTGCCTCTGAAGGCGAGGAAGAGCAACATTTAAATACAAGGAAAGAGAGGCATTGAAGTTTGACAAGGGAGTCACACCGACGAAAGAGTTATGATGACGAACGAAACCTCTGTTTGGGCGAAACCTTGATCGTTGGTGGCTTCATTGGTGGCTCTATTGTTGGGCGGCAAGCGTAAGCCTTAATCCAAGGCGTCACGGACGGACTTCTGATCGCCACAGGACCTTTGATATCTCTAGAAACTGTGTTGAGGTGCAGGCAAGCGGCTGTCAGGAAAACAGGGACTACAAAGTCACCTCGACAGAATTATTGTGGCAGTCAGCATCATAATCATGCCTCCTATTGTGACAGTAAGCAGATGATATTGCCTAATAATTGCTCAATAATTTATTATTGCAATATTATTGTTATTAACTATTGTCTATCAATATCGTGGCCTGTGTTGGAAAGTTGGAGTTCAAACACCTTTGCAGTCCGAGTTATTCTGAATATACCTACCTATCTACCTATGAAAGAACATGAGAGAACATACGTGCAGGATGACAACTCAGTCATCTGGAAAGTCAGCTACTCTCTAAGCCTGCCGTCGTTTGGCAAGTGATACAAGCAATCAATCAGAAAAGCTCATGTCCTTTCAGCAATTTTCCATCCAATTCAATTGGTCCACTCAGCCTTGTGCGCCGCGAAAGCTCAGCAGTAAGACTCACCAAGGAGACAAGCACAGCTATATAAACCACATATCATCACCTCTATCATCTACGACCATACCTACTAGACAGCACTGGATCCGTATATTTCTCTTCTAACATTGTAATTACTATCTTTTTGGACTCCTGGTCTCATCTACTTTTGCCTGCCACGAACGCCATTTGTGGATAGCAATTAATCTCACACAACTGTTGTCGAGGTTACAATTACAACAGTTTATTGTGTATTTGTAGGTTCGGTTTTATTTATTCTTAGTTTTTCTATTTATAAAAACGTTAAAATCAACACACCAGATGCCCTAATCTCCCCCTACAACACTATCCCAATCAGGAACACATTATTTTCCTCTTAGTGTGTAGAGATAAAAACGACCATTACTGTGGTAAAAGTCGTGCCGACCATGACGAGCTCGACAGTGCTCGCCTTGGTCAGAGTCGCCAAGATGGCAACGAAAATCGCCGTCGCCACCGAGACAACCCACAGGCGAGCGGAGAGGTCCGGCACAAAGTTGCAGACAACCACCGGGCTCAGCAGAACGCTGGCGATCAACAGGGCCACGACAGTCCGGACGCCTGCTCTGAACAAGGCTGACCTGAAGCGGTATATGCCTTGACCTTGCCGCTTGGGCCCGAGACAGACGAGGGCGTCTCCTATAGCGGCTTGGAGCCAGGCTGTTGTGCTGTCGTCGAGGGGGCTGATGGAGATGAGATCCCCTGTTTGATCAAGATAGGCGGTCTCTTCTCTGGCCATGCATGGATGCCCTCGGATCCATCTTTGCAAGTTGCCGACTGCCCTCGGAGGGGCCGAGTCATATGCAAGGACTGCCCGAAGTCTTGCGAGGAATAAATCTTGGTAAATGTCAATGTTGCAAGTTGATCAGATGGGCTTTTGCGTTCACTGGCCCATCTTTTTTGAGCTTGTGCTATGCAAGGAGGCTGAGCCAACTCACCATAATCCTTCATGGCGAGGTCGATCTTGGTAATTAGGTCCTGTCGGCCTTGATTGCGATCTGATCTTCTGCTTGCCAGAAACAGGCGATTGGTCTCGTCGCCATCGAGTCGCCGCAACTCCAACTCCAGCTCTGCCAACCTGTCTTGTTTAAGGAGCAGAAGACGTGCTCGGAGCTCACCAAACTGCCGGCAAAGATGAAATGAGGGATGCGATGCGATTAATTCTGAAAATAGAGGGTAGCCAGGAGCTGGGGTCTGCCTCGTGCTTGTCAGTCCCAGCTCGATATCTCCCAGCATACCGGTTGCCATCTTTGTTCTCGCTGCGAGAAGATCAACACAGCGACCACTCGACCCGCGCAAATTGTAGATCCGCGTACCTTTAAAGCTCTTTCCCTTGCAAGGCTGACGAGCCAATATTTCCCAAGGTAGGTAGTTCAACAGCGCCATGCCGAGTTGCCTCGTGACACGTACCCCTCAATGACGGGCCAACGAGCTGCCCGCAGCGAATACAGATGTGCACGAAAGTGCATGATTCGGATAATTACACGTCAGAAACAAAAGTGATTAGAAGAAACTAGATTAGTATAGTGAGGCCGTGTTTCGGTGAATGTGTGAGTGAACCCCGCCGGGCTTCTGTGTACTCTGCCAAGCGTTTTGTAGGTAAGACTTTTGGCGTCATCATGCATATCAAAATAGAAAATGCAGAATCGGGCCGCATATCCTGTGCCCGATATCTTGGGCAATGCAAAAGTTTGGGATGCGGCCCGACCTCCCACATCAACCCGGCATCGTTCTTGAGCTTCTACACTTCCTCTGACGCGAATAGGAGCATATCGTTTGTAAACCTTATGTATATAAGTGCTTATAGGAGGACACAACCTGACAAGAAAACTATAATCCTTACGATTGTTCTCATCTACGGAGAGCAGGGCCAATCAGTGTCAGCCTAAGCCTACGACATGGAACCACTTCCCGAGTAAGAATAGCCACCCTTTTCCTCATTCGCGTTACTATTTCGTCATTACTCACATCGTCCGCAGCTTCGAAACCACAGGAGACGGCCGGGCATGGATCAGCGAGCCCACATTGGAGTTCAAATACAACCCGAAAGATCGCGTGTACGTTCGAGCAACATCCACCGAGCGGCAAAGAGGGCCATTCATCGTGACCGAGGTCATTGTCGAAAGCCAAAGATACAAGCTTCAAGAAGAAACTGGCCAACCTGTTGCTGGAGAGTTTGCAGAAGCTGAGTTGGAATCGTGAGCACGTGCAGCCACCGTGGTCACCGTGTAATTCCGAGTCATCCAATCTCCGGCCCCGCGGGTTGTCAGAGAGTCGAGGAGGTTACATATCAGGTCGGCACTATTCAGGGTCGAGCTCCGTTGTTCACCCAGTGGCTCGAGAAACATGGAGTGGAAACGAGAGGGCTCTCGGGTAATAAAGACCTTGCAGACACACTCGCTCTTGCCTCCATCCTCTTCCTCGAGGTCCATCTTCAACGTGATGTCCTTTTCCTTTCCGGGTGCTATCTGGGTGAAGCTGCCTTCAGAGCCACTCCCAGGCAAGAGGTTCGAGACTTGCCAATCTGGCGAAAACCAAGCCAATAGTACATAGACTGAACGTTCTTCTTCCTCCTTGTTCGTTCGGGGGGTGAACTCGTTTCGGATTCTGAGATTCCAGTAGCATCCTTCTTGTACTTCAAACGGCCCCGTATCATCGTTTCCCAGTTGCTTTGCGGAAGCCAGGAGCTTGATTTTCTCTGAAACGTCGTGTGATCCCTGCGTGCCTGGGGGCAACGTAGGATTCTCAATGGTCTCAAAGTATTTGTAGCTGACAAGATGCTGCAGAATTCCGAGAATGCGCCCTGCAGCTCCAGGCTCGGAAGCCTCCAGCACTGGGGCGTGCGTTACCGGCACTCCGGAGGCATCGAGTATCTCAAGCCGGTCGGAGTCGGTAAGCACGAGCGAGAAGATGCACGGTCTCGATACAGGCTCTTCCCACTCAAACTCAGCAAACCTGATGCCTTCCCAGGATCCGTCGGTGCGAGGCTTTTGGAGTCGCTGCTCTAGCTTCTGTCGGACCAGAACGGGGACCCTTCGGGCTGAGTAGGATCTCAGCGGCTTCGCGCGCCAGCCAGTCCAGTTTTCGCTGCGTACGGCTTCTCCTTCGGAAACTATCTTCTCCAATCTCGACCTGTTATCTTGAACTTCTACCACGCGACACAGCTGCGTCGATGTTCCGGGGGCACCTGCTTGGAGACCAAATTGGATAGCCAGGTACGTATCGCCGACGCTCACACCCAGCGAGCTTCCCTCCTCGACGTATAATCGAGGTGAGATATTCCTTGACTTTGCCTCGGTCTTGTCAATGTAGAGGGATGGATATATGGCGTTTCCGTCATGCCGGACTGTCCCGAAGATTGTTGTGCTCCCAGACCCGATCCGCCTGGGTGTTTGGCTGGGGCAGAATGATCGGAATTCGATGCGCAGACGATCATAGAGAGAATCATGAGTAAAGGGCTCCGTCGAACGGGCTCCATAGTCAAGAACCATACCCAGAATCAATGAAAAGGCTCCCCTTTTTATCCCGCCAATCGGGATCTCGATCGCTATCTCATCCTCGCCGCATGCTGTGAAGATGTTGTACGATTTTGGGTCGACTTTCCACTCTCGAGAGCTTACCGTAGCGCCTCGCAGGTTGTTGTCTGGCGAAGGGGGGAGGGGAGGGGGAGTGGCAGCAAAGGAGGCTGCTGCAACTTGGCTGTCGTAGTCGATGAAACGGGCTCCAGGGTTCATGCCCGAGATGCCAGAGCGCTGTACGCTCCCCGATTCACAGCAGTCGAGAGTCACGGTAATGATCAAGCCTGCTTTTTCCGACATGACCTGCAGCAAGGTGCCTCCCAGATAGTAATCTGTGTAGGGAGGCGTGTGTTTGTAGAGGACCAGCGCAAGCGCCTGCCCGACCCGAGTGCCGTGGCCAGAGAAATGGATGTAAACGTGGTCGCCATCCTTGGCCTTTTCCCGGATATTGAGTAAAGCATTGTCGATATTTTCTCTTGTCGGCCAAGATTCCTCGTCGCTCTCGGTGGGACGGTTCTCCTGAGGGTCACGGGAAGCGGAGGCAGTGAGTGGGATGATGTTGACCGGGGAGAGCGAGTCACGCAAGAATGAGGATAGGGCTTCGACATCATGGACTGCGCTGGTGAGCGTTTTATCCTCCCATCTTCCTCCTTCCTTGGTTCTATATAGGTCGACACCTATGAGAAGAGCCCAGCGAGCCATGGTTGTCGATGAAGTTTGTCTGGGTAACGAAGGATGCTGGAACGGGCGAGGAGCCTTTGAGCGTTGGCTACTATTACCTCAACTATGGTATGATGTAATACTATGTGCCTCGCCGTCATCGTCTTGCCGTCATCTTCTTGCTGTCATCTTCTTACCGTCATCGTCATCGGAAGCCAACATTCCCAATCGATTGGCCGCTGACTTGGTTCTGGGGATTTATCAAACGTAGATCAAGTGTAGATGGGTGTACATGCCCCCCAACGCGCCGAGAAACGCAAGACTATATGTACTACTTGTAGGGAACTATATGTACTACTTGTAGGGATGTAGGTACACATCGATACTTGCTCGTGGATAGGCAGCCACGGCTGCACTGCTTCCCAATGCATTGGCTGCTAACGCATTGCCACCCAATGAGTTGCGTGTCTTAGCCGTTCCATCTTGCAGCATTTCCTGTCGATCTCTGCTTTATGTTGCACATAGGAGCTTGTTCCTTTCAAAGCCTGACTGACCTGCTTTCCTCTTCCATCCCTCTTCTTCGGGGATTTTACCATGCTGCTGGATATTCCTCAGCATCCACCATGGCAGAAAACACAGACAGCTTTGAGAGTCTTCCCGACGGCGGACTCCAGATTGAAAGCATCAAGTTCGAATCGGACGGACCTGGTCGAGATGATGGTGGCAACAGTTCGAGCTCTAGGCCTCCTTTTCTAAGGATCACCATACAAACCGGGCCTTTGCAACGGCTGGCTCTGGAAACAACTTCGCACAACCAAGGTGAAGATCCAAAGCCCCTCCCCGCCTTCCTCTAGAATCCCCCCAGCATAGCTTCAGGGGGGCAAATCAAATTAAGAGTCAATACTCGCAGGTCCAATCAAATTCACGGTCGGTTCATTCATTGGCGGCTTGGCCGACGCTGAAGGACCATCAGGCGGGCCATACGAGACACAAGAGACATCTCGCGATCCCGAGGAGGCCAGGTTTACGAACCTGTGCCGGCACGAGGGGGAAGATGGCAGGACAACGCTTCGCTTCACGCACAGCTGGCCGCTCCCGGATCATGACAATGACCGACGATCAATCGACGATGCCCCCGCAGACGCCTCTGCCTGGCTCGAAGCACCAGAAGGCGCGCCGGAAATCCGTCTCGGGATCTACACCAAGGCGAAGACATCTCGCTCAGGCAGCGACGATGGTATCTTTTTCATGGATGCCAAATTATATTATGATCCAGACAAGGGAGTCTCCTTGATGCACTTTGATATCAAAGAACTCAGCGCGCCATATTTCCGTGTGGCTCAGCCAGAGTATCAGCTCTGCTTTGAGGGCAGGCAGGGTCTCGGCTTTGATATAGCTCAACTTCCGGAAGGCCTCGACCCCGGGAGCGTGCAGACAAACAAGACGAACCAGGTCAACAGTTTGACCTACAATATATGGGTGCATCTCAGCAAACAACTTCAGTTTGCACTCTCGCAGACCACCGCGCATGCAAAGAGTGCACTGCGGTTGGTCAGTCACGAGCCCGATGCGTCGTCGTCTGAACCGAGTTCCTCTGCCGCCAGGATGCAGAGTATCGGAGGACCCAGGATCAACAACACTACCGAGGCCAAGTTTGACAGCAACAGCAGTCATGGACGCGGACATGAAATTCAAGAAGCCTGCCATGTCATCTCTAATATGTCCTCTTTCGCCAACGACGATCGCCACTCGCAGGCTTCTGAGCTAAACCTAAGATTCCAAGAGAGCGGCTCGATGGACGACCTCCACCAGTCGATCGAGTTGTCCAGCCTGGTCCTTCAACATTCAGATATCAAGGATCCGAAATATGGTCTGTACCTCAATCTCTATGCCGGAAGCTTGAATACACGACATGCCTGGACGGGATCAATCTCTGATCTCATGACGGGCGGTACCCTTATGGCAAAGTACCTGGACTCATGTTACGAAAGGGTCGTGAAAGGGGCGGTGCCCTTTTACAACCATTCCTGCATTGTTTTATCAGACTGCCAAATCAGTTACTACAAAGCCTTCCAAACTCAAGACCTGAAGCCTCTGGATACAGCTATTCTGTTTGCTGAGCTTGCTATAAGGAAGACACCAGAGGGCGACAGTAGCCTCTCCAACAGCCTGTCCAAGTTGGCAAGCGCTCTCGTCATGCGTTATAAAGTCACTGGCAAAGCAGATGACCTGACTCGTGCAGTTGAGGAGGCCGAAAAGTCTGTCAAAATCTCTCCGGCTCCATTTGAGCTCAGTGTTCTGGCTGAGGCCCGAGGGTTGAGGTTTGAGCAGGATCATCAGGAGAAGGGCCTAGATCAAGCGATCGACGAGATGGGGAAGGCTCTCAAGTTGACCGGCGATGATGGCGTCAACCGAGGAAGTATCCTGGCAGATTTGGCAGATCTGCATGGGAGGCGCTTCGAAACGAAAGGTGCTTCTCAAGATTTCGACACTCGGATTTCACTCCTGATGGAGGGCTGTGAATGCTTAAGCTGGACACCCATTGATAGGATACAGTCGGCCAGGATTGCAGGACATATGTGTGCCGAGGCAGGCCAATGGAAGCGAGCAAGCGACTGCTTGAACAAGGCCTCTGAACTGTTCCCCCTCCTCAGCTCCCATGCGGTTCTGGAAAAGGACACCCAGCGTCTTCTTCCGACAATACGGGGTTTGGCTTCCTATACTGCGGCGGCAGCTCTCAATGCAGGAATGGACGCTGCGACGGTGCTGCCGCTGCTCGAAATGGGGCGCGGCGCCCTCAACAATAGACTCATGGATATACGCAGTGACCTGACAGATTTGTTCGAGGACCACCCTGATCTGGCGGGCTCATTCGTCGAGCTGCGGCAGAAGCTCAACCAGACTCCCGCAACAGACTTGACAGAAGCAAAGACGTCTTCGCGATGGCGATTCAGAACAAACCAGGAGATGAAGGAGCTTCTTGACACTATACGTCAACAGGATAAATATCACAGATTCAATCTGCCGCAGACTGCCGAAGAAATCACGTCTACCGCGTCCAAGGGCCCGCTGATCGTGGTCAACTCAAGCACCTGGCGTTGCGATGCCTTCCTGGTTGACGAGAACAAAGGTATACGGCTGAAAGAGCTTCCCGATTTGACAGTGGCCGAGATGGACAGGCGGTTTGGAAATGGAATTCAGTCGCTGAAGGATCCGGAAACCCTTGCCTGGCTTTGGAGATGCTTATGTCTCCCTTGCCTCGAAACACTCGGCTTCGACAAACCCCTTGACAGTAACTGGCGTCGGGTCTGGTGGATTCCTACCAACGGCCTTGACAGAGTCCCATTGCATGCGGCTGGGATCTTCGAGGCAGGGCGTAGAGACAGTGTCCTTGACAGGGTGGTTTCTTCTTACGCATCATCGATCAGGGCTTTGCAGTATGCTCGTCGAGCGTTGCCAATGCAGCCGAGCAATGACCCGGTATCGAAGAATGCAGTACTTGTCAGCGTCCCAGTGGCAGACCCTGAAGGCAAGACCTATCGTCCTCTGGGCAACGTCGTCAGCGAAATGACGATTGTCAAGAGCGGCTGCAGAAAACTGTCCTTGGATGTGATTGAACTTGAACCAGAACCCAAAAAGGCTGACGTGCTCGCCCAGCTGCCTCAGTGTAAGCTGCTGCATTTTTCCGGCCACGGCGATTCAAAGCCGGATCCCTCTCAAAGCCTCCTGGTGCTCCAAGACTGGGCTACAAACAGCCTGACGGTCTCAGACGTGCGCCGGACCTTTCACGACAGCAGCTCCCCCTTTCTAGCATTTCTCTCGGCCTGCTCATCCGGGCAGAACAAGGGCAAGGATCTGGCCGACGAGAGTCTGCATATGATAAGCGCAATGCAACTGGCAGGTTTCCGCCATGTGATTGGCACGCTCTGGGGGATATTCGACCAGCCTTGCGTCGAGGTGGCCGACACCTTTTACGCGACACTGCACAACTGCGGAGGACTCACCCACGATGCTGTGGCTCTTGGGCTTCACTTGGCTGTGCGCAAACTGCGCGATGGCAAGGGCGATGGGCCGGAAAAAGGCCGCCCGAAGGTGTTTGTGGACGGCCAATTGGTTGAGAACTCGCCGAGAGTGGCTGTTTCGCAGCTACTATCAACCGCTTGGCTCCCTTATGTGCATTTTGGTCCATGAAAAATACTTTCTAATCCAGTACCGTCGAGTAGAAGGGAGAAGATGGAGCTTCTAAAGGAGGGAATCGTGACCAGCTGGGACTGTTAAATGGAAGGGCTACCTAGGTAGGTAGTTAAACCTCGGGAGAATGGAATCCAAAAGGGGAAAGAAAGGGATCCTTTGAGTGAGAATGTACCAGCATAGCAATGAATTTCATCAATCAGAAAAACATCTATCTTTTGAAGCACTTTTCCATCTAATCCAATGGTCTATCCTCTCCTGCCAAGTGTGCCATGTGCCAAGAGCCGTAGACGAACATCCACCCCGCTAAACGCCACGGTCCTGCCAAGCTTCGGCTAGCAGATACCCTCCTAGGTTAGTAGGTAACCGCCAAAAATTGACCAGGAAGGAACCGAAACAGACCACACCAACAAACAAATATTATAGCCCGCTACCATCCTGCGCAACCTCACTCAGACCGACATCAATCAACCAAGGTTCGTCTCCGCTTGGCTGCGAGCGCAATTGGACGACCACGTACACGTGTGACTGCGCACCCACGCGCAAAACTCGACCGTCCCATCGCCAGTCGCGTCCGTCATCACCCAACAGCAGGGCTCACGCCTCGCCCAGCCTCAGCCCAAGCTCCCTCATGGCACCCTCCAGAGCTGGGGGCAGACGTCCCTCGGACGGCACCAACGGGAGGGACAACCGGCGACACCAGCAGAACCATTACCAGCCCAGAGACGAACCGCCACAGCCTCCTCCGCCTCCCGCGCCCGTGAGAGCCGGCCCTCATCCCGGCTACATCACCAGCTCGAACCAGTACACCTGCGAGCGCAAGATCAGGCACCTCCTCAAGGAGAACGGCTGCGACCCCGCCCGGGAGGATAACTACCGACTACAGGGTGTCCAACTCATCGACAATGTGAGGGAGCATCTGCAGCTGTACGTTTGATGGCCCGCAAAGGGGGAAAAGGAGAAGACAGGACAAAGACAACTGACATTGAGTGGCGCGCAGACCGGTTCGGACGTTTGACACTGCATGCGTGTACTTCCACAAGTTCAGACTCAACTTTAGAGACGCTGAGTACAACTACCAAGACGCCGCGCTGGCCTCGCTCTTCGTGGCCTGCAAGGTCGAGGACACCATCAAGAAGTCGAGGGAGATCCTCGCCGCGGCATACAATATCAAGAACCCAGACAAGCCCGCTGCCGCAGACGACAAGGTGAGTTGGCTATCCATCTACACACACAAATCCCCAGGCAGGCTCGTGTCGAAGAGCAAAAAGAAGCTAACTAACCTAATATCAGGTCTTCGAAGCTTCCTCCAGGATCATCATCGGCCTCGAGCGCCTCATCCTCGAAACGATAGGCTTCGACTTCCGCACCCGCCACCCCCAGAAGCTCCTCGTCAAATGCACCCGCTCCATCCTGGGCCGCGACTCCCCCTCCGCCCGCGACTTCTTCTCGACCGCCTACTCCATGAGCATCGACCTCTACAAGACCTTCGCCCCCATCAAGCGCACCACCTTCTCCATGGTCATGGCCGTCATCGAGCTCACGGCCCGCGCCATCGACATCAGCAACACCGACGACCCAGACCGTCCCCAGCTCCTCCCCCAGGTCCGCCGCTTCTCCGACCTCAAGCCAGACTACTGCCGCCCCGCCGTCCTCGAGACCATGCTCGACCTCCTCGACCTCTACGTCCAGCACCCCAAGTCCACCAAGCTCGGCCCCCGCTTCGACATGAACCACTTCATGGACATCAAGATCCTCCTCAACAACGACCTCGACCACGCCTCCCTCCCCCGCTTCCTCTACTCCTGCCCCGAGTGCGAGTCCTCCCCCTTCTCCGCCACCTCCCCCGACCAGCACTCCCCCGCACAGCACCAGCCACCGCCCCCCAACACCACCAGCAACCTCCTCCTGTCCTCGGATCACGCCGCCACCCCCAACCCCCTCGGCACCGGTCCCCGCCCCGTCCGCGGCGACGGCTCGACCATGCGCTTCGTCTTCAACCCCGAGGCCGCCCGCTCCGAGCAGCGCACCGTCGACGACTTCTTCCGCGAGGAGTGGGAGGAGCACGAGGTCGAGGTCGATGAGCCCATCCCCCCGCCTCCTCACGTGCCCCGGAACAACCGAGACGATGGAGGCAACGAGAGAGAAAGAGGTGGTGGTGGTGGCAGGAGGAGATATCAGGGCGGGCACCATAATCGGGATCGGTGGGGGGGCGGCGGGCATCCGTACCGAGGAGGCGGCGGCGGTGACAGAGGCGATAGACCACATCGAGGACGGGGACGGCATCATTAATGTAGAAAGGCTAGAAGAACCGGACGTGCATGCAGTAGATCTAAACACAATGCCAACAAGATATGGGTGGACCATTGTTCCGACCAACTCCCAAACGTCCAGGTCCAAAACGACAGCGTCAAGCGACTTTCAGGCACTGCCGTGACAATAAAGTAGATCAAAGGAACATATTTAACGATGAAGTGATTTATTCGCCTCTAACTAACATATATTTCTACATCCCCACGATAATCCAAGAGCCAATGGGGGCTTCCTTCCGAAATATACAATCCCCCGTCAGCCCGACTCCTCACGAGACAACTCCTCATCTGGACATGGAAAAAAATAATATGTGTATGTTTTGGAAGGGGTTCGCCATGCTTCGTGGTACTGTGCCAAGTCCCTGTAGTCCGCATCTCCCACTTCCTCCTTGGTTTCAATAACAAAAGACATAATGGTGACATAACAAAAATGAGAAAAAAAATGTATATTAAACGGCCACAACAAGCTGCCTAGGTCACCAGGATGAGGCCAGAAGAAGAGGTACAGCTGGGTTCCGGCCCTATCCATGTTACAGCGCCCGGCGGTTCGTTGGGATCAAGAAATGGTATATTATCAGAAACGTATCCAAAGCCGATAATTTTACCAATTGAAGAAAGGGAGGAAAATCAGATAAAATAAAAGCGGGGGACGCTTCCCCCAAGAGTAAGGATGGAGATTTGATGCCCGGTTCTCTGGTTGAAAATTCGGCCTCCCCTTCCATCTGTTGGGCTAGCGATCCCAGGGTATCGAAGTGTAGATGAAACTAATATGGACGGATGAGCTTTTGATGACGGGCCAAGACGAGTGCGAACAGTATCAGCGCCAGCCGAGTGAGTTCTCTGCAGCAACTGGGGCTGAGATGTTGGCAGTGCGGGCCGAGTTGCCCATTCCACTGCGACCACTGCCGTGGCTCTCTCGACCACCGCCTATTGCCCCACCATAACTCGACATGTCCCGGCTCAAGAGCGCACCACCCATGAGGGCGGGGCTGCCGTTGCCAGCATACTGCATCTCTGAGGACCTGTCGCTGCCAGTGACAGAGCTAGATCGGTGGTGAGACGAGGATTGTCTCTTGCGCTTGTAACGGCGGGCGACAATGAACATGGCAGCACCATAAAGCGCACTAAGACCCACAGCACCGACAGCAATACCGGCGGTCATGGCTTGTTGTCTAGAGGACGAGGAGCTATTGTTTGAGCCGTTACCCAAAACATCGTCATTGTTGTTGCCGTTGTTGTTGCCACCGTTGCTTCCACCGTTATTGTTGTCATCAGTAAACTTGCCATAAATGTCGATCTTTGGGTTGATTACTGCGGTCAAGTCGCGAACCAAGCTGTCTGGGTAGTTGTAGACTTGCGAGTTGGGAGACAATATATCAGCCTGAAGCTTCTCGAGCAGATTCTCAGGGTAGTAGAACTTGGCGATCGTAGTCCAGTATCCGTACTTCGCAAGAGTGTCAAGGGGCTCCAGCCTCGTAATTTGCATCTTGTCAATATCAAATCCACCAGCATTGGACAGAGCTCGGGGAAGATAAGAGAAGATCTGGGCAGCAGCAACAGTGTTCTTGGCCACGTGCTCATAGTTAAGAGCATACAAGAAACCAATCTCGATCAGTTTCGTTCCATCAGGCTGAGGCTTCTGTTGATCAGGGAGAAGAACAGCAGGAAGGTTGGTAGGGAATGCACTGCCGCTGGAGGTGCCGGTGGGAATGACGGAGGGAGCCGAGAATGAGAACGAAGTTGGGTCGCCGACGATGGTTGTTGGAAGCCAGTCATCCGACTTGGAAGCAGTCTCGGTAGGCCTGATGCTAGTAACGGGTGGTCTCTCACTAGTAGGAGCGCCGGTTGCAACAGAAGTAGGAACATCCGTCTGGCTTTGCACACCAGATGTGACAACACCAGATGTGGCCGTTGCAGATTGGTCTCCAGTCCCAGTTGGACGCGTCTGGGTACCGGAATCAGAGGGCTCGCTTCCTGTGGCGGTGGGTTGAGTCTGAGAACCAGATGCAGTGCCAGAAGCGGAACCGGACGTAACAGTGCCAGTTGGGGGAGCGCTGGTATCAGTTCCAGTGGGAGGCAGGCTGGTATCGGTTCCGGTAGGAGGCAGGCTGGTACCAGTTCCAGTGGGAGGAAGGCTGGTATCAGTTCCAGTGGGAGGCAGGCTGGTACCAGTTCCGGTAGGAGGAAGGCTGGTATCAGTTCCCGTAGGAGGCAGGCTGGTACCAGTTCCAGTAGGAGGAAGGCTGGTGTCAGTTCCCGTGGGAGGAACGCTAGTGTCAGTTCCAGTGGGAGGAACGCTGGTGTCAGTTCCAGTGGGAGGCAGACTGGTATCAGTTCCAGTGGGAGGCAAGCTCGTTCCAGTACCAGATGTGGGCAGGCTCGTGTCAGTACCTGATGGGCCCAGGCTGGTTCCAGTAGGAATAGCAGTTGTATCCGTACCGGTGGGCAGGATGTCTGTGGAGGTAGGCAGAGTCGTCGGAATAATGTCAGACGTGGTAGGGATCACATCCGAAAGACTGGGAATTGATGAGAGCGTAGAGAGAATATCAGAGATGATATTTCCCGAAGAAGAAGTTGGCACTGGTTGACTGGTCACCACATCGGACGTCTGCTGTCCTGCGGAAGTAGTAGGAACAACATCAGATGTTTGCTGCCCTGCGGAAGTGGTTTGAGCAGGCTCGGAGGTGGTAGGGTTCACAATGTCCGAGATAAGCGACGAAAGTCCGTTGCCTGATGACGAAGTAGCAGGAGGCTCCGATGTCTGGGCCGCGGAAGTGGTTTGAGCAGGTTCCGATGTCTGAGCGGCCGAGGTGGTGGGAGCGGGAGGCTCCGATGTCTGCGCTGCGGAAGTAGTTTGAGCAGGCTCCGATGTCTGCGCGGCCGAAGTAGTTTGAGCAGGCTCCGATGTCTGCGCTGCAGAAGTGGTTCGAGCAGGCTCGGAGGTAGTAGGGTTCACAATGTCCGAGATCAGCGACGAAAGTCCGTTGCCTGATGAAGAGGTAGCAGCAGGCTCTGATGTCTGGGCCGCGGAAGTGGTTTGAGCAGGCTCCGATGTCTGCGCGGCCGAAGTGGTAGCAGCAGGCTCCGATGTCTGGGCCGCGGAAGTGGTAGCAGCAGGCTCCGATGTCTGCGCGGCCGAAGTGGTAGCAGCAGGGTCTGATGACTGAGCCTCCGAGGTCGTCGTCCCTGCTACGGTCGTCGTGGGGTCAGGGTTTGTGGTTGCAGCTGCACTCGTAGTCGCTGCTGCCGTTGTGGTTGCCGCCGCGGACGAGTCGGTTGCGGGTTGTGTTGCTGACGCATCCTCACTGGAAGACGAAGAGTTGAGCACTGAACTCAGTGAGCTCAACAAATCATCCAGGCCGTTATGCCGCGTGCTCGTGGCGGCAGCATCACTGGAAGTTCCCACAATACCGGTTGGTGCGATGGTAATGCCGGTAGAGGCGTCTGTTGTTGGGGCAATGAGATTCGGCAGAGTCACAGTATCCGTGGCAGTGGAATCGACAGGATTGGTCCCATTGTTGAAGACTTGTCGCTTGACTTGTCGAGGGTAGTGCATTCGTGGTCGGTTTGGGAATGCGGCGACCGACGAGGCCGCGAGAAGGGCCGTAGCCAAGGCCAATTTCGCCTGCATTATGAAGATTCGATATCCAAACTAATCCAACTCGGTTCTTTCAACTGCCCAAGATGCTAATTATTTTCCCTTTTTCAAATAACGATAAAAAACGGTCGGCGACTGGTGCTACTTCGATTGTTAGTCGTCGCCTGGAGAGGATGTCGCGAGGGGTGGTAAATGCTCACTCTCCGAAATTGTATATGAACGAGTGTATGCGACAAAATGTCTGATAAAAATGAGTGAGATCTAACAAGAAATCAAAGGTCAATACAATTTCAACAGCTCGGCCGGATACTTCTCCTTGCCACGTTCATAGAAATCTTTCCCCAATGGTCTCTTCCTCTTCCGCGATGTCGTTGCCACTCACATTTGGTTGTTAAATAGCTTTTTGTTATAATAATGTACGGATTTGCGATGGCTGTAAAAGAGCGACTAGACAAAAAATTCGTCCAAATGGAAATTGAGCAAGCACGCCGGGCGTATCGTCAAACAAGAGCCGAGATTGGGGTGTCCAAGATATTCGTCAATTGCCGGAGTCGTCGTTATCGTCGTGGTGTTGTTGTCTCTGTTAGTTTCTTCGCCGGACGATCGAAATGAGACATTCAATCGTGAACTATCGTTGATCGCGAGAAACCTCCAAAACCCGAAACAATTGGCCAGACATGAGACGCTGAAATCAAAAGCCTCTAGGAGTCTGAAGGCGCGGGAAAGCGCTGGTCGACTAGTAAAGGGAACGATGGTCGCCTGAAGGAGGGAGAGTGTGCTGGTTCGACCAGAAAAGAGAGAGGAGGGGAGGGAACGTAAGAAAGGACAGAGCAGTGGTAGGCATATGCACGCAAAAGAACGAAGGAATGGGAGTGAGCGTGGGTTAGAGAGAGAAAGGCAGGCCGAAGCAGCGTGTGGCAGCAGGGAATGGAGCACAAATACAAGGAACAAGGGCAGGGGGACGAAGGAAGCGGAATGCATGGATCTTGGATGGCCTCGACTGGCTGGGATTGGGGCCTCAACACGCAATATGGAGCCAGCAGGCAGGAACAAGGGGGGTGCGAAGTACCAGCAGCCAGACCACGCACTTGCACTGTTGGTGCCAGGAGGGAGGAAAAGGGGGTGGGGCCCGGGCGACAGAGGGCGTGCCACCATGAAAGATGATGAGCTACAGTGGGCACAGTGCAGTGGGCATGCACAAAGAACGGCCATGGCAGTCACCGGCTGGTTAGCGCACCGTACGGGGCATAGCGGACGCTGAAAATAGTAGATTGAGCCCACTGCACCAGTCCATCAGAGGGCTGGACACTAAGAATTATTACCCGGCAGCGCCCAAAGAGGCATCAGCAGGTCGAGAAGTCCTTCCGCGCACGCAGAAACACCCACAGCCAAGACCAAGACCTTCTCTAGCGAGAGAGAGACATCCCTTGCGTGGGTGAGTCCAGATAGACATTGGTGGTCATCGCTGTCTGCCCTTTCCGAAACGAGTCTCATCTGTAGAGATGAAATGAAGGCAGGGCGTCTGCACATGTCTGTCAGTCTGCATGCATGCACAGAGGTCGATGTAGAATGCCGTCGGTCGATGATGACGATACGAGCCAGGGCTGCGGGGAGCTGCTCACTTGGTATTACGGTGGTGATGCCACCCGTATAAGCATGCCTACCTGTGCGCAGATGGAGGACTGTCAGGCCTAGTAAATTAGCAGGCCCAAGGTGCATACATTTTTAAAATAGTGCGTCCCTTTGCGTGTGTGTGTGTGTGCCCATCACGGTGATTCGATGTGTCCAGCTCCTCACCAGTTCATGACTGCAATCATTAGGTGCTTAGACGGAAGGGCCTCCCATTGCAGAGACCCCCCGAGCTGCAGTGCAAAGGCGTCTCCCTGTTGGCCCATCGTCCAAGGTTGCACCGGGGACCTCGTCGATACGACGCCACCCATGGCATGCGCTCTGACATGTAACCGCAAGAGGTGCGGATCAATTTCACGCTCCGATATCCTACCTACTCTTCGTGGCAGGTACCTACAGAGCACATCATAGCACGCACATTCGCACCAGGTGGGTAGCACGAGGCCTCTATATATATATGCCTCTTTTTCTACAGCACGCACATGGCTCAAGCACCCAATCGAGGAGGCGTGGTGTCGGCACCAGAATGTACCTGCACACGCGCTTGCCCTGTCCTGGCCGCGGCGTCTATGTAACTCTCCGCCCGGTCTTCACATCACATCACGCAGCATCCGTTGCAGTTGGTCGTCTGTGTTGGTTTGAGGTACTTTTTGGCTTCATTTATCCGCCTGCAACTCAAAGAAATCGCGCCAACACTTGGGTACCAACACCGAAGAGATTGAACTGCCTGCATGCCGTATTACATCTGGTGACATAGGCAAAATCATTAGCAAGAGCCGCCAAGGCACTATTACGGCCCTCTATGGGCACGCCTCCCACTCCAAAAAGGAAATTGCTATGGAGCTCCGGTAGGGGGTCTGAAGCGACGGTCGCCATTGTTCCTGGTTCTAGCCAGGCACAGCATAAGGAGATACTTGTGAGCTCTGCGGACGCCCAGCGGCGGTGGAGATACCTCATAATCTGGAGCTATTGCCCACAACGGTCCATCTAACCGCACGTAATAGCGGGACCCCCCTCAATTCTACGTTAGGGCGCTGAAAAAGATGGCGTCTTGCGATTGGCTCAGAGCCCGGCTCAGACCACAATTTCCTCCGTAGCCTGCCCATCCCATGAAGCCGTCACCAAGTCGCTCTTATGGTGGCGTTTCCTCCTTGGTCATTAATATTACTGCCCTATATTTCTCTTGGCTTCCAAAACGGGGTTTGGCATGGCCGTCTTCTGCACAAGTCCCATTATTGCTTCCTCATCCGACAGGGCTTCGCTTGCTCTAAGCAGTCATCATTGCCTGTTTTCCCTGGCTCGAGCCTGGCTTTTCTCCTCTTGCAGCGTAGCATCCAGAGCCTCGTCCGATGGCGCAGCACTAACATACAGACGGCTTGCTTACCAACTTTCCAACTTTGTTGATCATTGCTGCTAAATTTACGCACTGACCTGGCCGATTGTCAGTCCCGTCAATATTAGCCAGCCCCGATCCTCCGCCATCCAACCTACCGACTGGGCAGTCACCAAAGTCTCTTCGTGCTAAGTTAAGAATGCGTCAGTAGTGTAATCAGTGCAGTAGAGGGATGCACCAATGCCCACTCACCGTCTGCTTACTGTCTCCTAGATCATCCTGGTGGCCCAGGCCTGCGTTGCAATGCAGCGTGACTGACCGATGCGCAATGGCCCCCGGTTGATCTTCGCTGCCTTATTGCTTTTCTAGCATAATCCAATCCAATATTATCATTTCGGTCACTACCACCGGACCGGTTTCTGCAAGGCAACTCTTACAGCTTGCGTATGCAGCAACATATCTCCCTTTAGGACGAATGCTGACATGACACAACCAACTCAGATAATGCCATATGCCATATGGAGCTCCAGCGGTAATTAATATCCTGTTGCCAAAGTACTCTTTAGCTCTCCATGGATGGTGGTTGGCTAATTTGGGCAGTGACAGAGCGAACGAACCCCTAATCTTTGAGGTGTCTCACGGGTGCGGAGCCGAAGCCTTGATATTGACGCTCCACGTGGAAAGGGTAAGACGCAAAGCCGTCAGTCACATCTCGTCACGCCTCAGACTCCAGCCATTGGTCTTGTTTCTTTTTCTGACATGCAATGGAATGTGATGTCTCGTCTCGCCAGCTCGGCAGTCGTATGCAGCCGACAAGCGGGCGAGCCATCCGTTGCAGTCAAGAGCCCGCTTTGGCCTGGAGCGGTGATAATCCGTGTCCCTGCCCGTCGCCGTAAGCTCGTCGCCCAAAGTACGTACTCAGGCTCTACCAGGCACACCCTTCGTAAATGTCGAGGCCGCCCATGGGAAGACACCAGGATGGCACGTCTGTGCGCAAGCACTTCCCAGTCCTGTGCCACGAAATCAATCACAGCGTCTCAGCCAAGCTCTCGGTTGCCGAACACCTTGTTGAACCCCCCAAGCAAGCATCTACCTGAGGCTGGCTACGCCACACTTCCCTCCATCGCCCAGGGATCTGTCGTCTGCTTTCATTACAGGGCGCTCGGAGTGCTACGAACGGAGCGGATCACCGCACCAGCATCTAGCTGATCTATGGCCACACTTCGCCAAGCACAGGAATGGCGGGGGAGAGGGTGCATGGCTGTCCCACCTCACATGGCGCTGGAATGCAAATGACGCATCTTGCAGACTTCGCCTTTATTGACGACGTCTGACGGTGGGATCAATGCGCCCTCGCCGACCCTCAACTTGTTTACGACTCACCGGAATGCTGCTGTTCCCCGCCGCCGCTGGACTTGGAGACAACTGCCACCGCAGGTCTAAGGCAGGTGAATGAGTGGGTGCGTGCCACACAGTGGAAGGGCGAACGAGCCATTTCACTCTGACACCGCCACGCCCAGCCAAGTTTCAAGATGTTCCACCAGCTTCTGAAACCAATAGCACAGCCCTTAGACCAATCCACAAATCTTAACCTCCCTCGCTCGGCAGCCGGCGTTCACTAGCGAAGTCTTTGACGTGTTTTACGGAGACGGGCTCTTAATGATCCAGGAGCAGGCAGGTTCCCTAGAATCTCGCGTAGCCGATCAAGACATTGGTGGCGTTGCTACGTGCCACGGGGCGAGAAAGCCGCTTGGTGGGCCTCTCTCGGTCCGTGTGAATTTTAGTCCGCGTGGTTTTTAAGGTTGCCATACTTGGGAGGCCTGATTAATTGCTTAATCAGGCTGCAGGTCGTGCCTCCACCGGCTGTAATAATATTGAACACTTGACTTGGAAAGAAGAGCGAGAAATTTCAGCCATGCTCCTCGCTCCTTCCAGAATTCTATATTTACGACTCCCCTGTCGTCCTGGATACCCCAAATTGCGCTTCGACCTGACTCTCATCCTTCTTATCTATTATTGCTGGGCCATCGCCGAAAGATGACACCCGACTTATTTTTGACTCGGCTCTGGA